TTTGTTGGTTTAACGTTTATATTCCTTTTACCGAAATCAATAAGTATTTATTTTAATTGACAATAAATTAAGTTAACTTTGTCAAGTAAGGCTATTTTGCCCTCAATAGCAGCTGGTAAGAAATCTCCCTGTCTTTATCTCAACCCATGAGCTTTTTTGTTCCAGTTCGTCATATTTTCTACCCCCTGCCCTGCTGAGAGTAGAGAGTGAGCAAGAGCCTGGGTGGTAGTTTAGCAGCTAGCCAAGGCTAATCCAGAAGACAAAAACCAATGTATTCGTAGACTGAAAGGTCTGCCTTATACATGCTTCAGGGGATTACTTTTGAACTAGGACTAGTTTGGCCTTGTGGCCTGTTCCAGACTGGAGTGCATGAGGGATGTTTCCGAAGCACATCGTTCAGTTTGGTTGTATCTGGAAGAATTCTAGTTGGAGTGGTCAGCAGCTTCTCCATGATGTGCACCGAAGGATGGTAGGTGAGAATGACACAACTAAATGAAAAAAGCATATTGATTTCCCTTTAAAACTTAGTACTACCACATCTATTTAAATTATATATAATCATAGTCTCACTATACAAAATATATAGAAGTATTTTAAGGAAGAAGTTTACTACTGATGTGGGTGCTTCCTTTCAAAACAGTGTCATACCCATGCTGTGGCTGGAGAACTAATCCTGTAAAGGACTGAGCCTGGAAAATCAGAATCCTGCATGTTTAAAAATGACGTATGTCTTCCATCTTGCTAAGAAACTTGACGCCGTCCTTCCCCAAAAAAGATGTGGCTGCTACAGTCTGTGCATGTCACTTTTAAGATGTTAAAATGGTGCTATAATCCAGGCTGCTAGAAAGCATTTAATTCTTCCATGCCATGGCAGAATTCTTCCAGGATACCATGAGCATACTTTCAAAATATATTCAGTATGTTTGAGATGTTTTAAAACCTTGTGTATCAGATTTTAAAAGGAAATTAGGTGTTTGCCAGAATTGTCAGAGATGCATGGGATATTATGTAGTTAACTCCCATGGAAATTTTAAGTGATGCTCATGTTTTATATTTTCTATCAAAGACTGACATATCTTTCTTTATGGTTATCTAGAGTAGTTATCTTTTTAGTGCTTCCAGCAATTCATTTTCAGTGTCACTATCCAAACACAAGGCTGCATTTTCTCTGTGTGGTGATTATCGCTGGGAATTCCCTTTTCCATCTTAGAAGTCTGAACTTTCATGCCATTTTTAACAACTTCAGTGACTCTCTCTAAATAATTAGCCATGTATAAAATGGAAACTTGAACGTGTCTCCAGTTGCTAAAAAAAAACTCTCAAAGTTTTGTAAATAGACTGAAATTCTGGAACGTTTATTGGTAACAGTAGTGTAAAATGACAGCTTTTAAATGATTTTCAAATTATGATGTAAAGTATCAGACTGTGTGCTAAGCAAGTTAAATGAAACACCACATCTTTCTCCCTATTTCTGGTTGTGTAACAATACCTTTCATGGAGTTGGCAGAGAAACTTTTAAAGCTTGTGCTTTTAAACCTTGCTGTGCTACTTACTATTGCTGTTGTCATTACTGTTTAATTTTGAATGAAGTGCTGACAGAGAAGGCTTAAAGAATGGACCAGAAAGTCATTTCTTCAGCCATATCAAGAAGAGAAAAATTAATAAAGTGTTCAAAAAGGATTCAAATATAAAGTAAAATAGTCCAGCACTTAAAAGATAACAGTTTGTTTTAGATTCTAAGACCTTGTCTTGCCTTAGGGTATGTTCTTTTAGCTAAATTTTGTTTACTAGTGAAGGAGACTGTTCTAAATATGAGATACATAACCATTAGTAAATGGTACATGTCACCTCTTGCTGCTTACTCTATTGGCAGATTCTAGAGTTGTCCTGGAGCTCTTTTAGGTGTTCCGAATATGAAAGGCTTATTTTGATATGGGGTGTGCGGGACCTTTATTACTACATGACGTGGCTAAAATACTCAGCAGAGGTTTAGAAAACTTAACAGGAGGTAGCAAATAGTTGATACGATGTTACATTCAGAATAAGTTACAGATAATACAGTGGCTCACAAGATAATAATGGGATTTTTCTTAGGAAATCTTCAGTCATCTCCTTGCAGCCAAACATCTGCTTGGTTTATGTTGTATTCAAAACTGGAGTAGTATCTGTAGGCACTTCGGATTTTAATTACCTCTTGAGGAACATGTGGATATGAAATTTAATTCAGTCTGGTAAAAGCATTTGATAAAGGATTGAGTAGATGACAATGTCATTTTTTTAAGTGAAACCATGAAATATATGTGCCATCTCTGCCTTTTCTCTTCCCTCCCCTTTCCTTTTTACTGGTCTTAAACATGACATATTTTGACATTTGGTTCACAGTCCAAATGAACTTCAGAATCCGTCATCTCTTTTCGGCCCTGTGGCTTTGTTGAATCAATGTGGTATGTGCTTGTCTGTCTCTCTGTACCTAGTTTTCTTCTTCCTTAATAGGTCTACTGTTAAACAAGTCCCTGCTGTTTTTAAAATAGGACTTTGTTCTGCTCTTAGCCCCAAAACCTCTTTGTCACACAAAACCTTGTTCTGTGACTTCTGTTCATTTGTTTTCCTGTTTGGAGATTTTATTTTCCACTTTCTATTTCTCCTTCCTCTGCTGCTGATGCTCAGTTTGTGAGCAATTGGTTCACTCATGCAATATTACACAAAGGAACGAGGTAAATGGCAGCATATATTTTCTTCCTCACTGTTCTACTTCCCTTCAAAATACAAATAAAGCCCACAAGAAATTAATAAAGTAAGCAGCCAAAATAAACTGTTTTGAACGCAATTTTTACCTGTGAATGAAGCAGAACTTTTCTGTAGTTTCCTATTGGATTTTCACTTTGCTCTGCATCTAAAACAGGTACCAGGTATCATGGTGAGGTGTGGTAGCATTAAATTCATTATACAGTGACACAAAATAAAAGCACCATATTTTCTGGAGATCAATCATTCACAGAATCACATGGTTTTCTGTTCTCTTATGCTATCCGCTGGTATGCTTACCTGTGATCCTATTTAGGAAAGACAGGATGTAGAATCATAGAATCGTTAAGGTTGGAAAGGAGCTCTGAGATCATCGAGTCCAACCTGTGTACTTCAGTGAAAGACAAAGAGAACCTCACGGCCTAGAAAAGAGGTGGTAATTGTTTAGTGGCGAATCAATGCCTAAGCGTGATGGAAGGGAACGTTACAATATGGTTTTAGTAGTTCCTCTGCATGAAGGTGGTGTAAAGACTGATATGCGAGTATTTTTAATAGTGAAAGGCATACTGCTGTTTTCTTACTTGACAGAAACTCTGTATAAAGAACAAATTTTACATTCATTTCTTTATCTAAATTTCGTCTGCATCAGAGACAGTTATTTGCTTCTTTTTGCTGCTCTGTCACCTGCACTTCCTCAGGTGACATTACATAATGGTTTCCAAGGGGTTGCTCTGCTCATTTTGCTTTTAGATTATATTTGCAAGGAGGGAGGAAGCACATAATGCAAGTGTAATATGAAAGTTCTAGTAAGAAGATTCACACTTTGTGAATCTGAAAATTTTTCATGGATTAAAATTCAGTCATTTCCAAATTCTGAGTGTTTCTTCTGAAGTTATAGATGAGTAAAAGATCAAAAGGCTAGCATAAATCTGAGTAATCATGCTTCACATGAAAGAATGTTCATCTCGCTGCTTGTATTTTTGAATGTTATTGATTCATGTTAGAAATGTAATAGGGCACATATGAAAATAGTGCATTTTAAATTTCTTTCTAGTGTAGCACAACAATATGTTAAGCATTCTAAAACCAAGAAACCATATTTATATTTTCCCATAAATACATATGTAGGTCATTCTTGAACAATGAACAATTGTATGGAAAGAGAATAGACATGTAAAATGTCTACATCAGAATACAGACTGGTATTTTCCTCTCTTCTCAAATTATCATCAAGGCTATTCATTCAGGATTTTGCTATTTTTCTAGAATACTAGTGGTAAGTTAAAAGAAAAAAATGTTTAAGGATGATTAAATAACAAAAATACCAAATGGTTTCAACAAAGAAAAAAGAAAATTAATTCAGTGCAGTTTGGTTTTTTTGTATTTCTATACTAGCAGAAGGATTGATTTATGATCAGAAAAAGTAAAAGTGTTGTTTGGTTAAAAGCAAAATCTCTCAAGCTTTGAGATATGTCACAGTGGTTTCTGCTCTTTCTTTATTCACAACTGTTTCTGCTTTTCTCCCTCTTCTCTAGAACAGAGATGCAAGCTAATACATGCTGGTTAAAATTTATGCCAGTGTCATTTCATATATTGTGATTTAAAAAAAAAAATCACTATTAAAGAAGTAAATAGCAAGAAATTTAAACATAATAAGAAAACAGCTTTGCTTAAGAGGGTGATCCGATACCCATATAGGTTTCCTAGACAGGTTGTAGAGTCTTCATTCTTGGAGACATTCAAAACCCAACTGGATGTGGTCCTGGGCAGCCTGCTCTAGTTGACCTTGGTTTGAACAGAGGGATCAGACTAGAGCCCTTCAGGTTTTAATAGTTCTGTAGTGTGGTGAAAGAGCCTGTCTTCTGTATTTGGAGATAATTTCACGGTGATGTTGGATATTTAGGATGAAAATCTTGGTGTAGTCTGCATATGTGCATTAAAAGAAATTACCATACAGTCTTTCAGATTATGACCAAGGAGATCTTTTACTAATAGGTCAAATCACGAAAGCCTACTAAGTTTTGTGTGTTTATATTTTGAGATCTATGTGAGTTTTTAAACTTAATTTCACACTTAAGTTCTGAAGGAGAATAATTAAATATCATCGCGTCAGTGTTCTTGATAAAGATTAAAGAATTTATTAGACGTTGCAGATGTGTACATGTTTCCAAACATTGTGTTCTCATTGTTTTCAATTTTTTTTTATTCAACAGCTTGATTATATAGCTAATACACTACCTTATTATCTTCCACAGATCTGAAGAGAGAAGCCAGTATTTGTCACATGCTGAAGCATCCTCATATTGTTGAACTATTAGAGACATACAGCTCAGATGGAATGCTTTATATGGTCTTTGAGTTGTAAGTTTCTCTCTTTGATTTTACCTTTCTTTGTTGTCATTTGCTAAATAAAATCCTTAAAGTATATCCATTTCCACCTGCTTGTTTTGTAGCTCAGAAGTCTTAAGTGGTATGAAAATATTTATTTCTGGCAAGTGCAGTTTGTCGCAAATAAAAAAAGTTGTCACACTGGCTAAGTGACTAACATCAGGCTGATTCTTTATAGCAGGCTTTCTAAGGGCAGACATGCTATTCATTGATGGCTGCTGCGTCCCTAATAGCGTGCACAAGAACAAGTTAAAAATCTGCTGATAGTCATCATCTTTGGGTAACTGATGGTATTCTATTCGAGTTGTGAAGTTTTATTTGTTTTTTTTCCAGACTATTGTTTCTTTAGCACTGCTTTTCCTTTACTAGATAAGAAAGTAAAGCTTACTGGAGTATTTAAGTATTCTTGTAAATCGATATACCTGCTCTCATCAGATGAAAAGAGGCATTAGTCTAAAAGATATGTTTTGGAAGCTTGAATGTAGGAGTTTAGTTACTATTGGCATATGGAAGGGTGAACAAAACATGACCTTTCAGCAGTGTACAGGTATTTTTAATCGACAAGAAGAAACAAAAGGAGGGGCAGCTCCTAAATTGCCACATTCCTCCTCCAAGGGAAAATTATTAGTCCTTCTTTAGTTAGGTTTTAGCTAACTGGGAAGGACAAAAACAGGCATGCAGAATGCTAATTTATGCATCTTCTGTATTCGATCTTCCTTCTCTTCTCTGTACCTACCAGCTCTTCTTTATATGTTCCCCATATATGCATTCCTAGTGTGTCTGGGTGTATGTGTTTATACCTCCTTAATTTCTCTGATCTTCCTGCATTGTGTTTTGTGATGCATTTCACCTGCTTACATTTGGAGCAAGCCACATCATGCCAGTGTGTTAGGTCAAATTGGCATGTCCACTAGAGCCAAATATTTAACTTGAGACATGCACTTTAAAAGTACTTCTCACATATTAGTTTTACCATTGAAGTAGAGAAAAAGTCTTACGATTTGAAATAATTGTTTTATGCTTTCCTTTCTGTAATTTGTTATTCAATACTGACTTTGGTTTTTATTTTGTAAATCCCAAAGCATGGACCAAGGGACTTTAATTATCCTATTATGAAATGATTATGTACACCTTGGAGACATACTGTGATAATTAACAAGATTTTGAAATGGAAAAAAGGTTTTGCTTCTATTTTTACCATGCCGGTAGCTCAGAAATATGAGGCAAAAGCAGTAATTATTTTTTTAATGACAAGCCTATTATCATTTATGTTTGTATACATAAAAAGTAAGTCTGGACAATTACGATTACTACACAAATACTGTACCTGACTTCAGGCCACATGAAAGAAGGAAATATGAGGCTAAATTATTTGAAGGATAATAATTCTTTACCATCTCACATGTCCTTGTCTCCCTTGCACACTGCAAGACATCACTCTCTTGTAACAAACAGTGATAGAAAATGAGACAGTAGAAACACCTGTGCTCAAAATGTAGCAGGGAATGGAACAGTTGTGGGCACAATGTGTTATGCTGGAGTGGATGCTTTGGTACAGTGATTAAACAGAAGACTGATATTTGCTCTGGAGTAAGACTGCATTGTCTGAGTTTGATTGGATTAGTGGCATGCTATATAATTGTGAGCATAATAAGAAACTTGTGGTTAGTAGAAAAGCATCTATGTATTTGTAGGTAATTTATTTTCCCTCGTACTGCTTTCTGTTCATTATGCTATTATTATAACAGACTTAACTGCTTGCAACGAAGTTCTGTCTGCAGTGATAAAATATATTTTATTAGGGGCTAGTTATTCTGAAATGACAGAAAAGAGGAAGACGACACAGATCTGCAGAGGAGATAGAAGCCCAGCTGGTGACGGGCTATTTGTGGACTGGCAGATGCTTTGCATGGAAATTAATTCAGGTCCAGCACATGAAATGCATCCAATAACCAAACCTAAAGCTTTGTGCCATCAGTTGCACGCAAATGACACACAGGTCCACTACTGTTTCATAAGCTGTGAGCTACATGGAGCAGCTGCTAAAATGACCCTGAATATCTTGCCAAATCTATTGTTACAAAAAAGCACAAGTTAAATAAGCAAATGCAGCATATATCTCATAACAAGAAACTTTACCACTCAGAAAAAAATACAATCTGTGCCCAACTTTGAAAACTTTTGTTACAATAAACATTAAAAAAATCAAGTCACAATTTATAGAAGCACTGATGAACGTGAACAGTAGCAGTGAAGTTTAACACCAAAAATTTAGCTATGTTTTTAACACTATTTATACACAAATTCAAGCACTCTTTAGAATGGGGCCATCATGTCATGTTACCAGTAGGTTGCGATTAACCATTAGGTACTGCTGTAATAAACTGCATAGAAGCAGTTGGCCGTAATAGATGAAGTGCATGTGTAGAGTAAGAAGCAGACCCTGTCCCGGAAAGTCTTATTCTTAAAGTAAAATTATTATTTTAAAAGTATTTAGATGTTATTACATCATGAATGAGAGAGTACGTGCCTGTGCCAAGTGATTCCCACACTCACACCCCAGCTGCTCCCCAGAAGGGTAATGGACTCTTTGCACTGATGGAAGAGATCCATTGGAGGCTCTAGAGAGACCTTGCACTGAGGTAGGGCCAGCGCTAGTCTTTATCGTACAGTTGCAATTTTCTTTCCCATTCTGCGGTGTTATTTGCTGACAGCTGTATATGAAGTGATCCATCATTAGTCTTAAGTGTGACCTTTTACCTAATACAAGCACGTAGTCAATAGAAGTACATCAAACAGATATATTTTACAGTGTCAAAACAGATGAAAGCAATCTTATTTTTTTAAGCCTGTGCCTTGCAAAGAACAAAATAATATGCAAAACTCTCCTGCTGTGTAAAAATTCCATTGGTTCCTTTTGTATTTGTTCAATAATGTGCTATTCTAGACAGTGCTGTCCCTGTCACGTGATGTTTGCTTGGTAATTTATGCATGGGGGGGGGAACACTGATTTTACATAGAATGCTGTTTTCTGTTTGGTGTATAACTATCACTTTTGCTTTAATATTCTATTGCTTATTACATTTGTTTTCTAATGACCATTGGTCTTTATCAATGAGAATACTTTGAGAAGGGTCAGCCACTTGCAATATTTCTAAAACAAAGCAAATATGGCATTTGAAGTGTCTGAAAACCATGTTTTAGAGTTAGAGTACATTATATGCAGTTTATCCTCAGTATAATCAAAGTATGTGGACTGAGAGTACTTACCTTTCATGCTGAAGAGCTCATATACATGAGCAGTGGGTGAATTGCAGATACCTTAATCTGGTCATTTGCAGAATATTGTCTCACCACTATACATATGTGGTTTTGCTTTTCTTAGTGCATTCTAAGAGAGATTTGTCTCTTGGGATGTTAGAAGAACTGATCTTATTTAGATTTACCAGTTATGCTGTATATATATATATATAGTTATAGAAATATACCTTTGCCATTTAACCTAGCTAACATGTAAAAATGCTTTAGTTTTAAAATCTCAAGTTCATAAAAGCAGTACTTTAAAATGGTTGTAGTTACTTAAGTTTATGTTAAGCATAAGCTGATGATATGCATTTAAATGACGGTACATTCAATCATGCGGCTTTGTTAAAGTGTTAAGAAAAAAAGAAGAAAAAATGAATGCTATCTATTTATTCTCCTTTGTTACAATACTGTGAAATAGCACAGCTGCTTAGTTTATGGAGTGAAAACTTGTTTTCATTATTTTACTTAATCATGTTATTTTTAAATGCAGTAGTCCTTCATCTTTTATATGGCTTTACTGTACTTCTGTTCTTTCATAGTGGCATAATGCAGTATCTAGGATAAAAATAAGTCTTAAATGTTAACTTTTAAAAGTAAAATCAAAAGAAGCTGAAATCTGTGTTTTTCACACCAAAACAGGTTGCTGTGATTACTGAAAGAAAATAGTTTCAGATGCTTCTAGGTTTAACGTTTGGCCCAGACTTTCAAAATATCCAACAAAAGGAAAAACTTCCAAATTCATTTTGAAAAGCTTACAGTACACTTAGAGAAGTCATTAAATTAGAGATTCTGTCTGTCCCAGCTTCAGATGTTTAAAAATTACACTCTAAATCTGAGGCATCTCTGTATGTGCTGTTTTTTCCTGTGGACTGAAAGGGAGCCTAACATGACTAACTCTTAATTTTAAATGCTTTAAGATGACCAAATTCCACCAAGTATTAAATACTCCAATATCAAACTCTGTGATGTAAAGACAGATTTTTTTGACTTGATAAAACTCATGTTTACATTGTGTTTGTATTGGGGATTTTTTTGTTCTTGTTTCAATGTGTTATGCATCTTCAGTACATCGTAGCCTCATTACTTGTGGACACAAAGTTTAGGCAATTATCTGGTCTGGGTGTGGTGTTTCTCTTTTGTCCCTGTGAACTGTGAGCTATTGACTGATTACAGTCAAAGGAAGCAGTAGAGAATTTAAAGCTAATTTATGTTTGAGGAAAGAGATACCAGGTTTTCATCTTACGTTTGCTTAATATTTGTTGATTTCATTCATTTGATGGACAGGAATTAATAGGAAACGAGACTTCATTAGTTTTCATGCTTAAAGAGCAATCTTTGGGGGTTTCCTGTTGACAAGGCAAGACTTAGAAATCAGGATTTTTATCTTGGATGAAATTTTCTCTCTTTTCTAATAAGTAGCAAAATTTGGCAGAGCAAGAGAGAATTCAGAGCATTGAGACATTGATGCAGTGACATTTCAGCATTTATTGTAACTAATTATCACAGGCTATTAAGTTGCATTATTTTAGCAAAGCTTCAGAAGACCCACTTTTAAGCAAAATTAACTGGTATAAGTCAATATAAAATGTTAATGCATATACTTGTATTTTCAAGAGTTTGTATAAATATGAACTAATTCACACAGCATTGCTATAAAGTGAGTATTTTTGTATGGCCTCATGAAACTGGCTGACATATGGAGGTTTTAACATTAAATTGGAGTATGGATTAAAGATTTCAGGTTAGGTATAGAACTACTTTTATATTATCACCAAAACCAGTGCTTTTTAAGGATGCATATGTTCATTTGGTCGTGCTATTTAATAATCAGGTTGGACTATTGCTATGAAAACACTAGTAGAGAACTGTTTCCAAGCATATCTATTTAGAATTACTTACTCTTCCTAAGATCATCTTCTACACTGCAATTTAGGAATTGAGTATTACTCAGTGAAGTTTGTCCGTTGTTTGTGACTAAATGGAATGAGTCAGTTTATGAATAGCACTGAAATTCATCTCTTGGCTGCCAGCAAAATTATAAAAATGTCTCAAACTAAAGTACTGAAAAGCCTCTAAAGAGATGCTGAGAAGGTAAACTCAGGAACATCATTTAATTACCTGGAATGAGCTAAACCCTGGATGCATGGGCAATATATAGGAAATAAGAGTTTCTGTACTTTTTGGTCTTAATTTTCAGATTTCAAATTTTAAATTTCTACTATATAGAGCTTCAAGAAAAGTTACATACTGTATTTTTAAGTTAATTTATGACAGTTTATTTGTAGTAAGTGAAGATGGCAAGTATATAAAAAAACTGTCCAACTGAAGGAAAAAATGCCATTGTGCACAGACCTTTAATATACATGGTATGAAACTCAGTAAACTCAGTTATGAGCAATATGCCAAGTCTTTTTTTTTTTTAAGTAATAATTCAATTCCCTAAAGCAGTACTTCTCAAACTTTCTGATTCTTCATCAGTAAATTAAGTTGTAGGCCACATCTTATTAGGTCATCTGGAAATTGAAAGCTATCATACCCCAGTATTAAAATGTAGATCTCTTCTGGAGTATGCTGTATATTCTTCAGAGTGACTGTTAGCCTCAGAACATATATCTGCATTGAATATGACTCAGGAGTAAACTTTCTGGGCAGGTTGCAACTTATCAGCTTTGTGCAGAATACTAGAAAGATTTTTCAAGGTGCACAGTAGCACTGATCATGGGAAAGAAACATTTATCCAAAGGGCTGAGATCCAGGCACAGTTCTGCTAAAAACATGGAAAAATCAATAGTAGAATATGGAAAATTGAGGGACATAGTTTGTGCTGATACCCCAAACAATTCAGATGTGGTGGTGTTGTCTGTTAACTCCCTGTTCAGAGTTGCTTTCGCTGTCGCTTTCAGTGTAAGTACCATGAACTGTCCCCGTCGGTTTATGTAGCTTCCGTGAGTGCCCTCCACTGGTATCAGATGGTTCTGTCTCAGATTATGAGTGTGCTGTAATTTTACCAACTTTTTTTTCATCATCCACTTCTGTCTTCAGCATGTGTATCTCTTTGTGTTTATTTTAGTGGATTTCAACTTATCTTAAGTGTTGTTTTTTTTTTTTATTTTATTTTTATGGTTTCACATGCCTAATGCTGATAGTCCTTACAAAACCTTGAACTTCCATTTCATTGGTATCTCAAAACATTAATGCTCTTGCATCACATAAGCCCTTCAGTTTCTGCAAAGTCATCTTTTAAGTGGTTGTGATATTGCTGAGTTTTTAGTGTGTTAGTGTGCTGAATTCTCTGGGGTTTCTTATAACTGAGGCTGGCTCTTGCTTTTGCAGCCTCAGCTAGGTAAAATTCAATATCATTGGGGTGATATAAGCCCTATTTATACATGAAGAAAAATCTACTCTTAAAATAAGATTTTGCCTTGAAAAAGTAGTCAGTTGAAGTCAGAGATTAAAATACACCTGCTGCATATTTGTGCTTTTGAGATCACCAGAATTCATCTTAATGGAGTAAAACTTTCAAATGTTACTGCTCACAGTCTGTAGCCATTTTTAATATCAACATAATTTAAACTAATTGAAAAATCATTGCAAAAAAAAAAATCAAACTGCCACTTACTGTTACAAAATATAAATGAAAAATGCTGGTATGTGTAAGTAGGAGGTAGAAATACACGTTAATGACCATTCTGATTAGAAACACCTTGTTTAATAGAAAAGTTAGTGTAAAGGAATGACACTCTTGGCTCAATGTCTCAGCAACTATTGATACTGCTAAAAATCCCGAGTGCCTCTGGATCTTTATTCATCTGTAGTTTATACCGAGTGGAATTAGTCCCCTAAAGGGTTCTGCTGCTTCATGAGAATGACACCTCCTACTTTTTGGTAGTTAATCCTACATTTTGTATGTTCAACAGTGCTTGGTGTTGCTCAGGTTTCAGTTTTGTTTCCCATCTAGCTGAAATAAATTGTTGGGAGGAAGCATTGAAAGGGAGACTGACCTGAGGGTTTTCTTCCAGTGAGCCAGCTAAATCCAGATTTATGCTGTTCTCATTGAACCTGACCCCATTGCCACGATACAGTACTACGTATAGTGCAGCACAGTCTATTCTCTGCCTGAGTGATATTTAGCTATGTATACAGACTAGCTGTATGAAATTGAGCAAGACAGAAAAGCTACTGGGAAAAAAAAACTACAGAGGAATACATTGATGCAATCATGAGCAGTCTTGGTTTGGCAATATGGGTTTCCGATTTGTGGGGCTTATTAAATCCAAAGATGGTACCAGGTGCTAAAATAACTGGCCAGGAATTTTTTTTCCACCTAGTTAGATGAATGTGCATTTCTTTTGGTCAACAGTCCCTCTTATAGTTGTCAGTGCTCTATCCACATGATAGTGTATTTTGCATGGGGATACCTTTTGGATTTATTTGGGAATTAAAGCTTCTGCACATTGCTTTTGACTCCCTAAGCAGAAGGTTTGCATTGCAGGTGTGTAACAAAGCAAAAGTGATTGTATGCTGACATTCTGGATAGCTTACGAAAATGGCCCTGATAATGTTGGCTTTCTAGATACCTTGCAAATTCTGCTCTGCTCACCCCACCCCCTCACCCCACCCCCATCTTTGGTGGAGAGGAAAAAGAAAAGGTGTGAAGGCTGAAAATGGCATGTTACAATCAATATTTTTGCAAGTGCCTTGTTAAGCATGAATTATAATGTGTGATTTTTATTGTTCCCGTTAACTCTCGTTACTCTTTCCTCGCCCCATCAAGCAATGAACATTTTTAGATATAAATCTGCCTTAGGTTACTTACAGGAGAGAGAAAAGGAGGGCAGTTATACCACACCAAGCTGCTTTGGTTTTAGAGAAATGGTAGTCTAATTTTAGCCTGAGGACTATTAATATACATGCATCTAAAAGTGTTATACTACTCATTGTGGGAAGTTAGGTTATCAGAAAGACTACAGACAATTAGGGAGAAAAGGAACAAAGTATCAAGTATCAGAGCTAGTGATGTAGTACATGTGCTGTCACTGTTTTCAGGTGCTTTCAGTGAGGCTGTGAGGTGTAAAATATTTTCTTGGCTCCTTAATTATCCTTATGAGAATGCTAACTGGAAAGACTACACTACATTTCTAGAGTATTTTTTAAAGTCTTCATTTAAAATTCAGTTTGAGTAAGCTTTTTGTATAACTACAGTCTTTATTATAGACTTGCACTTGTAATGCTTTTAAGAACACACTTAACAATATCATGTATTAATTGTTAACTTGCAGAGCCTTCTTGTACAGGGCACTGACTTTCAGCTGTCTTGCACACTAGGTTCAATGATCAGTTTAAGCAATAGAAGAAATGTTTGGTTTTGCTAATGTTTTGAGAGAACTGTTATATGACCTGGGGGGCATGAAACAGTTAACCTGTGGCAAGCCATATTCTATTAGATTACCTATTAAATGCTGGTTTAGTTAGTAATTCATTGTACATGTGTCCAGAGTATTTTATGTAGGATTTATATAAGTGGAGTAAATAGATTTTTTTTTTTTGGAGCATTTTTATGTAATTGATTGTAGTTATCTGTCTTAAGCATTTTTCCCTTTTTTGCCTGCAGTATGGATGGAGCAGATCTGTGTTTTGAAATTGTGAAGAGAGCAGATGCTGGATTTGTGTACAGCGAGGCTGTAGCCAGGTAGGTATTACAATTTTAATTAATCCCACAGGATAAATGGAAAAGAATGGAATATACTGTTGTATAATCTGATAGCTAAAAGTTGGAATACTATAAATACTCCTGTTTCCACAGTCTGAATGTTTATTACAATAATTAGCATACTAAAAGTAGAATTTTGGAGCATTTTGTCATTTGCTACTTGTATATTTGGATGGAATTATTGAATAAAATAGTATTTCACATCCAATACTTCATTCTCTGTGTTTGCTTTTTGTGGATCTCTCATATGATGGCATTAGGTGACTTGCCTGACAGGTGTGAGTTTTATTGGTCCTGCTAGATGGAGTAGACTGTCTTTTCTCTCTCTCTCTCTCTCTCTCTCTCTCTTTCTCTCTTTCTTTTCACTTTATTTATGGTCACTTCAACTTTTCACTTACAAGCTAAACAAAAATCAAAAACTCTATATAATTGCAGAAGGACAACAAACCCAATGTCCTAGTGGCATGATAATTGAGCTCAGAGCCCATGAGATTCTTTGTTTGCTTTTCTTGACACTGCAGATTTTTTACCACCACAGAAGCCAGGTTGGAAGAGACATCAAGAGGTCTCTACTTCAACCTCCTGCTCAAGGCAGGGTCAACATTGCATTTGGATCATGTTGCTCAAGGCGTTGTCCGGTGGGGTCTAGAAAACCTCCAAGGATGGAGATTCCACAGCCTCCCTGGGCAACTTGATCCAGTGCATAATTACATTCCTAGGGAAAAATGTTTCCCTATAACCAGCTGGAACCTCCAGAGGACAAGGATTGCCTCCTTTAGCCCACTAGTAATGCTCTGTGTGATGCAGCACAAGATGCTGTTGGCTTTCTTGGCTTTCTAGTGCGATCAGTAATCTGTTAGGGGATACTTTGGACAGAGGGGAGAGAAAAGTTAGTCTTCAGTATGCACCAAGGAAGCTAAGATCTTGGTTCTATCCCTTTCTAGATAAATCAGGCACTGATACTCACTTTTTTCTTTTCTGTGTTTTGTTATACAAAAACCTGAAGGCTCCTGAATTCCTTGTTATATGAAGCAGAATTACTGAATATTTAAACCCTTTACAAAATGGAAAATGCAGATTTTTCTATTCTAGTTTTCCTTGGCTTCAATGAGAATAATCCTCAAACTTTAGATTTTGTTATTCATTATTATAAACACAAAGTCCATTCTGCTGAACTCTGTATATTTAAGGTTAAGTTGGTTGATTAGTTTTATATAGTTTGACTCTTAAAACTTAGTTTGTTATATGTGTATAGTAATTTTTCCTGCAGGTTTGTCATGTTAGATGTCTTTGTTTTTTCAGTCATTACATGAGGCAGATACTGGAAGCTCTACGTTACTGTCATGATAATAATATAATTCACAGGGATGTGAAGGTAAGGGATTTTAAGTCTCTTTTTTTTTTCTTCACCACAATAATACAAACTACTGAATTTTGATTTCTGTAATTTAGAGGAAGGGGGAAGCTGTAGAAAAGGAAGCTATATTTGCTGAATGTGTGTTTACTCTTACTGTATCATGTAAGATTAAAGCCCATCTCTAATTCTATCAGTATAGAACATTTAGGAGGTCTTTATTCACAGATTACATATGCATTTGATTGCAACTTACTTTGAAAGTCAGTTTAATTTCTAGTTTTTTAATATTCATATGAAATCTGCTTGCATTTCTTTTCTTGTGAGGAAAATGTGTATATAAATTAATTGCATAAATTAAACTGGAATTGGTAGATTAATGGCATCGTTTTGATAGCATAATAACAGTCTTTGTCCAAACTAAGATTTCAGAGAGATGCACATGCTTAAATGCTACAGTATTGGTAGTATTATCTACTTTTTGCAAGCAGTCTTAAACATGTATTATTATGAAAACTTCTCTAATACAAACAAGTTTGGGAGGAGAAATATAGTGTTTAAGAAGAGTGTATGTACATGCTGGTGTTGGTCTGGTGAATTTTATACTATTTCTATGGATATTTATGGAACTAGTTTATCCCAAAGTACTCTAATATAAGTATTTGGGAGTTTTGACCTAAGTGGGTTTGACTCCCTTCAGTTTGAACATACATATTCTTTGTTAATGTCATTGTCTAAGATAGTTATTCCCACTTGTCTTCTCTAAGAGTTTGCTTTTATCCAAAGTGAGTCAAGCACTATAGGAATTAATGAAAATTCTAACGAGCTCTGATGGTGCAGTTTGAGAAGGGAATCTTGGGGTTCCGTGAATAGAGAAGATTGAGAGAGGGTAAGCTGTGCTTCAAACTCCTATAGGTGATCTGTGAGGGAAGAGAGTACGGACTGGTGATTTTCATTTAAGGAGTCATTTGGTCTTGCGTACACAGGCATTGCAGACCTTTCCCAATCTCTTTTTCCTTTCCTTCTAAAATCAAGAAAATTATTCTGTGTAATAGGCTTTTTTTTTAAGTTTGATATTTTAAAAGTAATTTCTTACAGCAAATTCTAAAGATGGCCTCTTAATTGCTGGTAGAATGTCTCATCTTGTTCTGTCTTGAAGGTTCTAGATTCTTTTAATTGTTCATTTTTGGTACCACATGAGCATTTCAGAATTAACATCATCTTTACTTTGCTGTGTCTTCCTGAAAGCTGCATCAGTTTTTGTTGGGCCATGTTCTTGAATGAAAACAAATTTCAGTTGCAAGGGCATCTGAGAGAGGCCCATTTTACTGAGTGTAAAATAGGAATTTATTTTGCAGCTTATCCAGACTCTGAAAACCTTAAAATCACTGTTTTTATTAAATACTATCCTTAGAAATAAACTTGTTCGATTACATGAGTGAGTAAGAATTTTTAATGTATCGGTCTAAAGTAGTGTAAACCAACAGACAGTGTTTCATCGTGGCAAAAGCAGTGCAGAAATACAACTATAGCGTTTGGGTGTAGAACATATTAAGCTAACTGCAATATCCCAGCTCTAGATGTCACTGTAGACATTGTTTTGAAAGGAAGTAGGCTAAATGACCAATTTCCAAATTATCTGGATAGATGAAAGTGAATTAATAAAAATCTGTAAGGTTGATATAGTCATATTACATTTTTTCCCTCTTAAGCTTTCTGTGAATGTTATTTTGAATAGCAGAATGTTTGATCGTTATCTGATGCACAGGAAAATTTCCACCTTATAGTCCCTGTAAGAATTAGGTGGTTTTTAGCCACTTTTGTGCTCCCTAAGCTCTCGACTGATTAGGAAGAGTTACAGGAATACATCAGTTTGCTGTAGTCTGGTGCCAAGAACTTCACCTGATTTGTGTAAGTGACAAGATCTACCAAAGCTTCTGGAGCACTACGATTGCAGCTTATGATAAATTCCTGTATGCTCCAGAATCGCCTCTGATGACAGAATCAAAACATGAAAACTTTCACAAGATGGCCTGTAGTTGTCTTAATTTCCTTCACTGCTCTGTGAGACCAGACATTTCTTGAGCCTCTGTATATCATTTGACCCCCTTCAACATTGCTTAAAGGCTTTGTAATCAGTGACAATTGCACCTTTGCTTCACCTTCGGTTAATGTGATCCTGCATTTATTCACTGCTTGGAAGCTGAATTGTATAAGGGAAGTAGAAAATGCTAATGCAGGAAGGTGGAAAACTCCAGATAGCTATGCATAAGAAATGTGAATGTCAAGAACTTTTTCCCCTTACCACAACATTCATTCCTATTCTGCCAACCTAGTGATATAGGACTCAGCCATTCCTTTTATTCTTTCACAGCCTTGCTGTGTCAGAAATACCCAGAAGATGACTACCCAAAGTAGCAACATTGAAATGGGGTCTTTTCCAATATAGAATGTTATTACAGAGTAGTTCATACACAGAATTATCTTTTTGTAAGAGAACAAAAAAATGAAATGGGAGTAATGTGGGTCTGAAATGAGATGCTTGTCTTTTTCCATAAAACCCTTGCTAGAGTTTGAGCACCATTTGTCACTGAAGTCAGCCACTTTCTCATGAGTTGTCAGTATTAGAAAATAATGAAATTATTTTGTTAATATAGTCATTACAAAGTGATGAGTGGGAGAAGACCTTTAAAACAGGACAAAGAAATAGGAGAAAAATGGCTTATCTCTTTCTTCCAAATCTCCACTTCACCATTTTCTGTCCTGCAAAATAGTGTTTTCTCTTACTTCACCTTCAGGAACAAGAAAGTAACAAATTGGGTTAACTCTGCATTAAAGTGGTTTTTCTCTTAACATAAATAAAACTGAAGATAGTTCCCTTGTATATGAAAACACATTTATTATGGGCAATAATGCATGCCTCAAGATTTAATGGAACCAAAAACAAGTAACTAAAATGTGCTTATAGCTGTAATCTTTCTTCAAGAAAGTGAAAATTAATAATATGCCTCTGCAGCTCTTAACTGTGAAGGTTACCACTGATCATTGAACTTACCTTAAGTTCTGTGCTGTAGAATTATTTTAATAATTATGATTTTAAAAGCTGGAAGTGGTGGTTTTGTTATAAATAGTTGAACTTTAATATTTCCAGTCCGTATGGCAGCTAATGTGGTGTAGAGTACCTGAAGCAGCATTGTGCATTTCATATTTGGTCAGCATTCGATATTTTGAGTTGTTATATTCTCAGCGTGTGGGAAAAATTGCTTTATCTTGTCTTGATAGTTTCACTGAGTTACCTGTTAGAGGATAGACTAACATGGATCTTAGTAGAAGACTTTTGTGCTAGTTACTGAAAGTAGAATGGGATTCAGCTCAAGAAATAGACTGTTTAAGCATTGTATAAGTTATGAAGCAGGATAGTGTTCTATAAAAAGTGCGTTTTGTCAGTGTTCATTGCAGATTTTTTCACCTGTTCATTTTTGCCATAACTTCAACGGAATGTTCTTTTATCAGTAAAACATGAAGAGGTTTTACAATCTTCAGTTAGCCTATATTGTGATGCTTATGTAGCATTTTATATAGTTGCTGAAATCTTGTTATAAAAATACCTTTAATATAACTGATACAAGAGTAATTTAATCACATCAAGAGCTGTAGTTGCTGGGGTTTTATCCTTACTTCACTCCAAATACTCCAACTTTGTTCTATGATTTCCATCTAGTTTGAGTGCTTCTATGTTTCTGTGATCAGTAAAATGATTGGTGTGCAACTGGAGTCAGGGCAAGCTTGTTGGCTAAATGCAGACATCCAAACTTTTTATTATAGGTTTATCTCAGTAGGTATGAATGCTTGTTTCCAACATGTGATCATCTAAACAGATAAAACTGCTAAAGCAAAAATACACAGATTCTGCCTTCTCTGCTGTTAAGATTCAGTTCAATATTTCTGTGACTGGTAGCAAAAACACTTGTTACAGAGAGCAGGACTAAGTGTTATGCACTGTGTTTGTGTCATATACAAATCTCACTTGGTCCAGGTGACTCGGGTTTTGATCTGAGAATAAATTTGCATGTTGATTTATGTGCTATACGGAACTTAGTTAACCATATGAATTCTGAGAGCACACTGAGTTACCACTTCTGTCTTTCGTTGCCTAAACTACTTGTAGTTAGGCACTTCACATTTTGCCAGTAGAGTTCAAGACTCTCATACTTATGCTTTTAGGTATATCTAGAAAATTAGTAAGGCTTGTACATATGTGTTTGTGTATGTTTATGTAAGTGTATATTCAACTATATAAAAAACAACTGGAGTAGAAGCTGTTCTTTAAGACCATCTTCTCTTTCTAATCTTTGAATACCCAAAACAAGAAATCTGTAGCATGTTACTTTCATTCTACTCTTTTCACTTTGGCATGGAAGCTGATTTATGCTTTTTGGGGACAGTCAGTAATAACTGATGCTTTTTTTATATTTTCTAGAAATGATTAGATCCTTGAGATCCAGTAGCAACTGCTTTGTGAGGATTTTGTTATATATTAAATTGTTAAAAGGTTGTTAAGGCTGCAAAATCAACAGCAGAGGTAGAATTAAGGTGTCCTATCTGGCCACGTTTTTCTGAGGAGCACTTCCTCATTCAATGCAGAAGTTGAGAGGTTCCAAGAATAAAGCTTTCAGTATTTTTTCCTCTATGTTGCTTCAGGTGGTACTTTTTTCCCCCCATTTATGTCCACTCCTGTACATATGCTTCCTATCTCAGAGTCCCCATTTTTTGTTTTGTCCTGCCCTTTTCCTAGTGTACTGTTAGCTGGCTCGGGGTGTTCAGAAGCAGTTTTGCTGAGAAGTATATTTATGCTGCTTGGCCTGCTTAAAGCTCAACGTCTACATGCTTTCTGATCAGGAAGTTTATATATTCCAGTCATTTGCCCAGCCAGTCAGAAAACATGTATCTTCTGATCAATGAGCTGGCCACCCGTGCAGCGCATTTGAACCGGTTAACCAGAAAGTAGACAGACACTTGCA